CATTCTGCACTCATCGCTCTGTGGATGTGTACTCTAATTACTCTTGGGTAAACACCTGGTGTAGACTTCACACTTGTGTGAGGAACGCAGGAGGGTCCCCACTGCACCACATCGTCGCCAGCCTCGGGGGCCTCTGGTGTGGGTCATCAGGGCCCCTCCCGCAGGCCCACGGAGGTACCTCCTGTGGGTTTACTTTGCATTTTCCTGGGGACTGGGGACGCCCCGCAGTTTTCTCACTGCTTACTGTTCAGTCACATACCTTTCATTTTGAATTGTCCGTTCAAATCTTTGCCCAATTTAAATTAGGTTATTTGTCCTTTTTATTGATTTGTAGGGGTTATTGACATAACCTGAATCTTTGTCAGGCGTGTGTGTTACGAACATTTTCTCCCCGTCTGGGGCTTGCCTTTTCTGCCTATAAAAATGCTTCAGGCTTTATCCAACAAAATTATTCAACCCAATCATCAATTCTAAATAATCTCTCAACTTTTCCTTTGCCCGCAACGTGTTCCTCAAATGGGGACTCTCTTTGGGTGGTTTTTCTTGGACAAATTCAGTGGCTTCTTTTGACACAGCTCACCTTCCTTTGGACGCCCTCACATTAAAATTCCTCCTGTTCATTTTTTCTCTTTCAATTCTTCTTCTTTCACACATTAACTCCCCAACATTCGGTATAAGAGAAAATTATGTAGTTAAAGCCCTTCTGAATAGGAAAGAAGTCATGGTCAGTCGTACCACCCTGCACGTGCCTGATCTCGTCTGAATAGGAAAGAAAACGTAAATATTTTCATCTAACCTATGAAAGTGGATGGTATAATTTGAATTTTGTGAGCATTAGTTATTTTATTTTCTTGCTGAATTATTTCCAGAATCCCAAACTTTATTTTTATCCATGGGAGGACATCCTTTTGGAATGGTTTCAAACCTAACTTTTCATGAGATAATTACTGCAAAACTCCAGCTTTGGTGCCCTTTGCGACACTGACCATCAGCCAGCTGCAGGCGTCTCCACTGGTACACACGCTTTCACCTGGTCCTCAGCCAGTCCTGACCAGAACTTCACAAGCGCCTTCCAACCGTCCCTCCTTCCCTCTCGCCTATTTCCACCATCGTTGTTTGGCCCTCTCCATTTTTACTTTCTCTCAAGAGTCCCTTTTTCTGTGCTCTTTCCCACCATGTGATGAGATCTCACTGACATTTTTCTAAAACGTGGTTGGGACTTGTCTTTTTGGAGTCCCGTTCCCGTGTGTCTCAGCGATTGGGTGAGTTTCCGGTGCGATGAAATGCGACTTGTTGGCCGTTCATCTCCTTTTCCAGGCGCGATTAACATCCTGCATAGAGCAGGGGGGTCTTTGCCGGAGAGAATCCCGCTCCAGGAGCTTTTCCCCTCAGCCATCTCGTTTTGGCCCCAGCGGGATGGGGCAGAGCTCAGCTGTCTCAGGAGGGTGACTGTTAGACAGATGGGACAGCCCTTTAGCCTCTGTTCCCTTGGACCATCATGAATTTGTTTAAAGAAGATCTACTTCCTTCCATATGGCCCTAAAATGTAAAATGTAATTGCATTTCTCCCCTAAGAGAAACTGAATTCCCCACACGGAGCCAGGTTTACCAAATAAAATTGCATAAGTGAACGGTTCTAACTTCAGCCAGGATGTTTATATAAACAAACACGGAATCTCTTCTGACTTGGCAACGATGTCTGCCATATTTTACAACATTCTCAGCAAATTTTAAGAGGTGGTTGACTTAATCAGTACTACCTTGCTTATGGTGAGCCTTCAAATATGATGTAAAATCCTCAGAAGGGCCATTTCAAGAATTTTCCAGAACTATTTCTATAGATACAGTATGTTCTTGGATAGAGCATGGAAAGCATTTTGTGCCCAGATAATCACACCATAAATTCTGTTCACTAGTAAAGCTTCTGAAAAAGGGCCAAGTGCACAGGAAAGTAAGCAATGTGTCTCCAGAAGAGCTTCCTGGAGCAGGCCCCGCCATCAGCTGAGCCGCCTGCATGTGGAACTCCAGTTAGGGACGGACCAGCTACTTTGAGGGTTTCAAAAGACAGGAACCAGTTGCCTCTGAAACCATGTAGCTCAGCCTCCGTCCTCCTTAGGTTGCCCCCATGATCTAAGGTAACGAATTGGTCACTTCAGAAAGAAATGTGAGTCATTGTCATTTTGATTCCAAGCCAGTTTCCTAGTCACAGTTGGAGCGAAAGCCTCGTTAAATTAACCCTGTAACACAGGGGGTCAGTTTGATTTATGTATTTGCTGAGCAAAATCTAGAGTGCTTAGAAAAGTACAGAACTTATAGGAAACGATCAGTATGAAATTTTTAAAAAATTGGGTGGTGCTGTTATAAGAAATGCAGCACCATCCATGTTTTGTGTGTATGAGAGATGAAGCGTGTATTGGAAAGCCCCTACCCGGGTACCCTGTTAGCACCCAGAGCAGTGCCTGCTGCAGTATTTGTTGAGTGCACCAGTCAGTACAGTATGACTTCTGGTGGAAACCACGTGCCCGATCCGGATGTTGGGCTGATTTACAATCATAACTTTGCTATTTAAAATTCTTAACTTGCAGACTGCCCCGACCCCCCAAAAAAAGATCCACTTCTGGAAATGAAAGCCACAGGGAATTTAATGGAATTACATGGATGCTCGGAGAGCAGAGGGCAGCTCAGACAGCTCAGGGCCCCGGAGCGGGCTCGGGACCTGGTCCCTGGTCCACATGCTCACAGACCACATTCCTTCCTAAAGGGGGCGGAAGCTGAGGGTGCAGGGCTGTCTCTGTTAGGAACAGAACCGCATGGCGTGGCTCAAGGGCCATTTCTTCCTTCTTCTCTCGTGTTCATTAAACAATGTAGAATGACGGTGAGATTTGAACCACCCTGGGCTTTGAGATTATCCTACAAGACGTCAGTCTGGACACACAGCAATATAGCTTCCACCCTCCTCGTCCATTTTCAGGAGGCTGAGGTCACCCAAGGAGGAAGCACTGTGAGTGTCTTCTGAGTCGGAGTGAGGGGAGGATCCCAGGCGCTCCGTACCTTTGTGTTCTTCCAGGACGTGTGCAGGGATGCCATGCTCACACGGTAGCAGTATCCAATAATACAGTCAGTAGATGAACTCGCCACAGCATTAAACATACATGTGACTATCCTCAGGTTGTAAATGGAATTACTGGGGAAAGAAAATCTAGGTGGTTTTGTAACTATTAATGCCATGACTATGAGTTATCTCAAAACAGATTTATTGAGTGCCTGTGATATGCCAGGCATTTTTTAAAAAATATATATTTTCAGGCATTTTTTCAGTGCTGGAAAAATAATGAAAATGAGAGCTAACCTTTATGAAACAGGGTTTCTGTGACGCACTGCATGGGGAACCTCCTTCAGTCTGGTCACCTGAGTTGTCACCTGCGTCAGGTGCCTAACTCCTGAGTACCATACCCCCATCACCAGCCACAGCGGCGTTGACACAGAAGCACACTCCTTCCCAGCTCTCGGGGGTTCCCCACCTGTGCGGTGTCACATCTACAGTCATAACCTCCCTGTAAACTGTAGTTAGTTCGTTTCAAAACAGACTAAAACATAATTTGTGGAAAATTACTTTCTAAGCAGGAAATTGCTCTAAAGATTTTATTTAAAATATATTCATCCAATATGTTGTCTGTTTTCTTTTCCCTTTTACGGAGAAATATGAAAACAAAAGAATCTTTAGATCCCAAATGACAGCTCAGGTGAGGGAGAGCCTGTTCTGAGACAGCCCTGGGTCCGAGGGTGAGAGGTCTTGCGGTGGGCTGTTTGTTCGCGATGGCTGTGATTCGGTGCAGAGACCAAGCCAGAGAAACCCCACTCCAAGGGCGGAAACTGGAAACTAGCGCCCACATTTGGAATTCTTTTTTTTTTTTGCGGTACGCGGGCCTCTCACTGTTGTGGCCCCTCCCGTTGCGGAGCACAGGCTCTGGATGCGCAGGCTCAGTGGCCATGACTCACGGGCCCAGCCGCTCCGCGGCATGTGGGATCTTCGCGGACCGGGGCATGAACCCGCGTCCCCTGCATCGGCAGGCAGACTCTCAACCACTGCGCCACCAGGGAAACCCCTGGAATTCTTTAACACGGGTGAGGAGGAGGTTTAGTTCGCTGCTGTGAATTTTTGATGCCATGTATTTGAGCTGGAAGGATGCAGAACAGGAACATTTGGAATATTCTGTGCCCAATGTTTTCTGGATTATATTTTAAAGCTCGTGTGAATCTCTTGTGAGGGATAAAGTGGTCTTCACCTTCATTTGACTCAAATTCATTACCATCTGAGGATCACTGAGTAGCATGGACTCGTTTATATGGTTCTAAGGCATTCTTGGTCTATTTGGGGCAGAAGGTGCATCTAAGTAAGCTCATGTCCAAACGCAAAAAAGAAACTGAATTTATTAACATAAAAAGACATAAGGCTTTATACATGGAAATACCCGGCCCTGGAAATTTTTTAAGTGATCGCTTAGTTTTCGTGTGGATGAGCTTCAGCGCTAAGCCCTGGACACAGCTTTAAAAACAGTCCCTCGTCTTCTTCTTGACTAATTTCCAGAAACGCAGCCTGTTTCGGAAATACTGCAGCTGGGATTTCCAGACTCAGTCTCAGTCAGCCCTCGGGGCGAGTGGGGGGCTGCTCTTCCAGGACCCTCCTGGGGGGTGTGGGCAGTGGTGCCAGCCCATCGCGGCTGCAGTGGGAGGGGCCGTGAGGACTCGCTGGGACTGGACCACGTGCCTGCTGGCCCGGGCCCCTGATGGGGACCCAGAGCAGAGGACCGTGACCGTCCCTGGGGCCTGGATCCCACCTGTGGCCTCCGGGGGTCCACGGGGCGTCAGATCCACCTGTGGACGCTGACCGCCCGCCCTGACCCTCCTCGCCGGCCCCTCCGTTTCCTGTTCAGTCTCATCCCCCGTAGGCTCCCCGGGTGACCCGCCGCGGCCTCACGCGTTTCTCCTTCTCGCTGCAGTGTCCTCGTGTGACCAGGAGCAGCAGTCGGCCCTGGAGGAGGCCAGACAGCCCAAGAACGACAACGTGGTCATCCCCGAGTGCGCCCACGGCGGCCTCTACAAGCCGGTGCAGTGCCACCCCTCCACGGGCTACTGCTGGTGCGTCCTGGTGGACACCGGCCGCCCCATCCCGGGCACGTCCACCAGGTAAGTCTCCGTGGGGCCGGGAGACCCCGGAACGCAGAGCCCCCATGGTTCCCACCTGCCGCAGATGCGATGCCCATGCCCCGGACCTCACCCCACTTAGTGCGGCGTTAATGCCTGTGCCGGTGGGAGCCCATCTCCCTGACGTCACCAGGAGCTGGCGATGCCAGCGATGGCACGAGGGTGGTGAAGACAGACTTTTTAGGCAATTTTGCTCCTATCTGTATTCACGCAGGCTGGAAGCTTGAAAAATGGCTGTGGTATCCAGGCTGGGGTGGGCACCTAGAATGTATCATGTACCACCTCAGCTTCTTTTGTCCCCGGTGTTGGCAAAGGGGCCTCGCATTTCACAGGAACCGATGGCCCAGGACAGCTCTCTGTAGTCCAGAGATACCTGTCCCCTGAAATTGCCACTGAAAAAGAAAGGGAGTACTGAGGTCAGGGGCAACAGTAGTTACTCAGGGTCTGAAATACAAACTGACCCATTCTTTCATGTTTTGTGCGAGTCTGAGCAAAGAAAGAAAAAAAAATTTTTTTTTTTTTTTTTTTTTTTTTGGCGTACGCGGGCCTCTCACTGCCATGGCCTCTCCCGTTGCCGGAGCACAGGCTCCGGACGCGCAGGCTCAGCGGCCATGGCTCACGGGCCCAGCCGCTCCGCGGCACATGGGAACCTCCCGGACCGGGGCACGAACCCGTGTCCCCTGCATCCGCAGGCGGACTCTCAACCACTGCGCCACCAGGGAAGCCCAAAGCAAGTCATTTTATAATAGCACCGGGAGAAGACCTGATATTTGTTCCTGGAAATAGTGTGAACAAGTAAAAGGATGTTTTTGCGGCTCTTGGTCGTATGAATTGACCTTTGGTATTTCGTAGATTGGTATAAAAGTAGTTTACAGGTAAAGGACACTATTACCTCTCACGTGTGATCCAGTTTAAGCCCTGGTTCCCTCTGCAGCACTGAGGCATGAGCGCCTTGATGCCTCCTAAGATACTTCCCCCAATTTCTCAAGGGTGACCATGGTGCATGTAGAAGGGGAAATGCACCCATGTAGATTCCGGGAGCTGGAAGGACAGGTAACCAGCTGACTTTTCCTCATGAGAAAGTCCAGCCACACCTGGAGCCCCATCTGGCTCATTCGGGAGACCAGGCTCCTTGGGGATGGGAACCCCAGGCCCCGGCCACCCTGGACCTCGATGGGGTGTCCAGGCCAGAGACTGAGGTTCCCTCTGCGGGTGGTCGTAGGAGATTGTTTCAAACATAAAGAGAACATAAATCTTCCCAGGGTTTTGTGTGAGAAATTGCTTTGCTCGTTCCTGAACGCATCTGTATGTAGGGAGTGATCTTTTCTAAGAAACCTTTCTTGGGAAATGACATTTCCATTACTTCAAACTCGGGCTTGTGGACCCCAGGCCCAGCTGCAGGGGCGCTCAGAACGATCTCGTAGCTCCGGCCGGCAAAAGTCCTCACGCTGTCAGAGCTAGGCCTCCGCAGACTGGCTTAGATGCTGAGATCAGCCTTATCACGTTGTCCCTGTAGAACCTATAAACGTGTTTATCTTACAGTCAGACGAGAAACACAAGAAGCCCTCCTCCCTCCTGTCCGTCCTGATTTCATTCTGTCCAGACTTCTTTGGAACACAGTACCAAGTTCTCACTTTCCCTATTTTTTGTATAGGAGGGAGGGACTCCGTCTTCTTTGAGTTTCAAGAAACAGACTTAAATTAGACCCAGGGGAGGAGATCCCTCAGACTCGAGCTCTACTTTTCTCTCCTTCGTTCATTCCTCTGTTCATCCTCTCCGATGCTGACTGTCATGACCCCGACACCATCAGAACAGAGGCTAGTAGCGAGGGGTGTGTCAGAGCCTGCATGTTTCCCACAGGGCTCCGTCCATCGAGGCTGAGCTGTCCTTACGGCCCACCAGTCTTAAACGTGACCGCACCCAATGCTCTCGGGGACAGAGGCTCCGATTATTTCCGCGGTTAAAGGACGTGATTTTCATGAGCCATTATTGTTCCCTCTGCTCTGCATCTTCAGTACACAAGCATGCTCTGGCCTGATTCCTGCCCTGGCTTCTAGAAGCATCACACGGCCGTGACAACATAATGTGGCTTTTCTGACAGCAAGAAAGGCCTTCCCCATGGACCCTCGGTGGGCCTCCCCTCACTCTAACTGGCCAGAATGTCACCCTCCGACCAGGCTACCGCCCGTCAGGGAGGGCCCTGGGCCCCATCATTCAGCACCCAGGCATGGATGGGGCCACCCCCTGGGCCCCCGAGGCCATGCAGAGCAGGTTCTACGTGTGACAGAGTTTAGTACAGAAGCGATACGATCCCTTAAAGCTCCAAGAAACAGTCCCCTCCCTGTCACCCAGAGGTTCACTTATTATTCACTAAACGTTTGAAATCCCTCAATGTTGCAGGCGCCGCTCTAAGGGCTGGGGGTATTCAGGGAACAAAGCTGACAGAACCCTGTGCCTCCATGGAGCTTATGTTCCATGGGGGGAAAGGGACACAGAGCAAACCGCAGAAGCAGAAAAGCTGAACATGAGGTCATGCGCCGGCTTGTGGTCGCTGCACTGGAGGACGACACACAGGAAATAGGGAACGGAGGGGCAGCTTCAGCGGGACGGCCGGGGGCTCCCAAAATGCTGAGGTCGGATTCAGGTCCAGAAGGATCTGGGGAGCAAGCCGACGATGTCTGCGGGGGGCAGTCCAGACGGAGGGGGAAATGTGGCCCCCCGACAGCGTAGGTCCCAGAGCTAGAATCTAGTTACGTTTTGGTCAAAAGGGAGGATGTATCGATTAGGAAACTCTTCACTTCTGTTAGTGATAAACCTGACAAATAGGCATAAACAGGGAGGGACTATGTAATCTAAGGAAGGGGTGCAGAGATGGAAGGAGTTCCCTTTCAGTGGATGCTGTGACTTGGTGATGTCACTGAGGACATAGGGTCTCCCAAGTCTTTCCTCTGACATCCTCATGTGTTGCCTTCGCCCTTGGACAGACTCCCCTCATGGTCACAAGATGGCTTCAGGGATCCGGGCATCTCATTCAGACACCACATGCTCAGAGGACACACAGCCCATCTCTCTCTTTCTTAGGAACCAAACAACCTTTCCTAAAAGTCCCCTAGCTGACTTAAGTCATGGATCATTGGCCGTAATTGGATCATATGACTACAGCTAAACCCATCACTGGCAAGAGAAATGGAATTGGTTTAAACAGATTTCTACATGGATACTGGGAAATCAGTCAAAATCGTCAAGTGTAAGGCATATCTTATGAGATGCTGGCCAGCGTCACCAGCCCTCACTTGCCCCTGCTTCTGCTGTGATTGAGTAGCAATGTCACAGAAAGTCTTCTGCATTATTGTTTACATACTTTCTGGTGCATAAATGCTATTTTCTTGCGATTTTTCTGAAATAAGCCATTCCAGGGAGATACTTTATAGTTTTGATTTATATTTGGGTAGACAGTTCAAGTTCCCCCCGCCCGAATCGTTCTCTATATTTTCTGATGGGGAAGAATAATTAAAAAACCCAAGAACAGTGAGATGACATAAATATCAAACGCATCCTCATTGTGAGCTAGTCCTCCTTTCCTGTGTCATCAGGAAAGGTAATTACAAAGCACACGTTTTGTTACAGGCTTGTGCCAAGGACGATAAACGCACAGAGGCAGAGAGCAGCCACGGGGCAGAATTTCTAGGGGGGCTGGTCGTCAGGTAGAAACATGAGTTGGACCGCATGCTGACGCATCTGCTGGTCTCCCTGCCTTTTTGAGTCAAAACTGACATCTTGGCCAAGGTGTTCAGAGCCCCTGCAGGCCGGAGCCCAGGCCACGCGTGGTGGAGCAGGACCTGGGAGGAGGGGGCAGGTCACTGATTAATAGAGGGGAGAGCTGGCGTGAGCTATCGGGTTAAGCGTGGATCAGGCTGACCGCCAGCTACTACATTAGCGCCCAGAACGGAGGGATTTCTCTTTCACTTTCTTGTTGGCCAATGAGGGTTTGTCCACCTGCCACCAGGCTGCAGGCTGCTCTGACCCGGCACGAGGACCCCGTTCCCAGCCTGTGGAGCCCACGCGGCTTGCTGGCCGTGTGAGCATGAAATCGAATTTCTCCCTGGCAGAGAGCCTGGTATCTGATGGGCAACCAGACGATTAAGAGATGTGCTTTTTTATCTTATACAAATAAGTTAAAATAAACACTATTGGAAAGGATGCTGACAGATGTCAGCACAATTTAAATGGCTTTATCTTCGAAGGCACTGATTCTATTTCTTGAGATTGTCATTTCCGCAAGTCACAGTGTTCTTTACAAGGAGCAGAATGCTGCCATTTAAACATACATTTTTATATCAACATCAGTGCTGGGATTCTTGAGACATCTACAGCCCAGATATGGAGCAAAACCAGGATGATCACGCAGTAAGGTTAATTTCCAGGTGGCTTCAAAGACTCAGGATGGGGTTGGTAGTTTTGTGGTTTCTTATCACCACATGGGGGTACCGGCGTTGACTCCACGCCTTTGACAGGCTGTACACAGAGTTCATACTAGCGGTCCAACTTCTTAACATGACAGAACAGCCGGTGGCTGACGTTCTCACAGATCAAATATTCCAGGGGTGGCTGGGCAGTTCGGCCTCCCCCGGAGCCCCATCCCTAGTTGTATCTGCTTGGTTAGGAGCTGGGACTTTGCTTGTTCTTTCACAGCTCACATTTCACTGGTTGCTGGCTGTGAAGGTGTCAGCTGTAGCGTGGGTACCATTTCCAACCTCCCCAGCCCCACGGACGCTGATCTAGAGTCTGAAACGAGGAGTTTTCAGTCCTGAGCACATGCTCCGTTTCCCCAGATTTAACAAGTGTGAGTAGCAACGAGCTCTTAGCCATCTCTCCGTTACCTGGCTTCTTTCCCGAATGTTCCCCTAGGGAATTTCTGGCTCCTTACCTACCTGTCTCAGTCCCAGATGGGAGAGGAGACACCAGGTGGGTAAGAGGTCCCTTCACCCCCGTTCATTCCTGTGACCGTGGTTCCAATGCCATCTGCACTGAACCCCACTGCATTTCAAAAGGATATGAGTTAATGGCTTTTGGCGAAAATGTGATAGCTTAACTGTTAGCCGGAGTGTGTCAGGGACTCTTTAATTTCAAAAACAACATTTCAAAAAGGCATATTAAGTTTGTGTGAGTGGGGTGTTAAGTTTTCTGGTATCAAAGAGGCTATTCAGGATGTGAGTGGCTGGAGGAGCTCGTGGTGCCCTGGCTGTGTTTCAACCACGCTGGACCCGACCCTCCAAGACCGGCCCCAGCTCCCCGGGCGCCAGGGAGGGATGCTGAGAAAGGATCCCTTCAGCGAGAAATTTCATTCTTTTATTTTCTAGGGTGGGAAAACAAGAAATAATGAAAAATAAGAATCAGAAATGATCCCTATGAAGTAAACATGATCTCGTATCTCTTTCTGAGAGAGTGAAAAGGAAACGGGCAGCGAGAGAGGGTGAGGCCTCAAGGGGACTTTGTTCATATCCTGAGAATCAGCAGCCCCCGGACCTGACCGTCCCTCCTGCGCCCACCCCCGACCGGCTCTGACTGTCGTTCGCATTTTCCAAGCATCCTTCCTGACCCCTGAGACTGCATTAAGAGCCCTAAGGGCAGGTTCTCACAGCTGCCAGGCCCGCTACTGAATTGTCAACGTCCCCATAAGACTGGGCGCTTCCCCCCAGGGGATGTGCATCTCCCTGTGTCTCCCACCAGAGGGGCAGGTGCTGGGAGTCTCTCCACGTATCCCACCCAAGGGGCTTTATAAAGAGCCTTGAAGGAGGCTCCGCTGGGCAAGCTGTCCACCTGGGCCTGGATCTAGAGCCCAGCCGGCAGATCCATCCAGAATTACTGTCAATACTGGTATCCCCGAAGTGCCCGCTGCCCGAAGTGAAGTAGCCGGCAGGCACCCCGGGTCCCGCCTGCTCGGATACCAAGGGCCACCCTGTTCCTGTTGACTCCGTGGGCCCAGAACATACTTTTTATTTTATTTTATTTTATTTTTTTTGCGGTACATGGGCCTCTCACTGCTGTGGCATCTCCCGTTGCGGAGCACAGGCTCCGGACGCGCAGGCTCAGCGGCCATGGCTCACGGGCCCAGCCGCTCCACGGCACGTGGGAACCTCCTGGACCAGGGCACGAACCCGCGTCCCCTGCATCGGCAGGCGGACTCCCAACCACTGTGCCACCAGGGAAGCCCCTCAGAACATACTCTTTATTCTTTGAACCCTGAGACAACCTTTTGTAGCTTCGGGAGTTAGATTTTGAGTTCGTTGGTCTTTGAGTAACGTAGCAGTCTAGAATTCGGAGGCCCTCTCTGAGACTTTGCACTCTTTCCCGGGGGCTGTGACCCTGCCCTCACGTACGGCTTGTGCTTGCATTTCCCCTCCTCCGCCCCTCCCCCCACCCTGAACCGTATCAAAATCCCGTCCTAGGCAGGGGCGTTCGGCAGCCACTCTAGAGGTTGTGTTTCAGAAACTGGATGGAGGAACAGAGCGCTGTGCGTCCTGCTTCTTCCTACTGACTGTGAAGAATATACTAAATTGCCACAAAGGTCACCAAAGGTCATACATCCCGAGCGCTGTAACGTGAGGAAGAGATGCCCAGTGTGTCCCGGGGACCAAGGAAGCCTGCGGTGTGAACACACGGGTGTGGAAGGCAGCCCCCATCTCGATGTCTCTAACTGGCTCTTCTCTCTTTCCTTCCCCTCCTCCTAGGTACGAACAGCCGAAATGTGACAACACGGCCAGGGCTCATCCGACCAAAACAAGGGATTTGTACAAGGGCCGCCAGCTCCAAGGTGAGTGGAACGACGGGTTCGGTCGGATGCCCCAGCTGCCACTTCGAGTTTTCTTGCAGATTTAGGATGAGGAAGGATCTCAAGCTAATTTAGTTGCAAAGAATGATTTCAAATTAACAGAGACAGTGAGTTTAACCTTATGATTATTGAAAATACATTCCCAGAAATGTTTTATGGATGTTCTCTTTCATCAGAAAGCCCGTAAGTGTTTGTGATACACCAAAAATGATGATTCCAACAGTTAAACCTCAAGCCCTGCCTGGATCCAGCATCTTCCAGGAATTTATGTGAAGTTGAACTTGGTCGTGTGGCGTGAGCCCCGCGCCGGCCGACCCCCGCCGGGTTGCAGTTATCTGATGAGATCGCAGGGTTAGCGACATGACTCCTGCATCATGGCGGTTTCACAGGCATCGGTGGGATGCAGCAAAGCTGGTGGCTATTTTGCTTCATTTCCATCCTCTTTCTTTCCTTTAAATGCCTCCAGATTGTGTACACGTAGCCACAGCCTCAGAGACCATGAAAACCATTCTCTAACGTCTTTCTTCTAGCGCGAGTGGTGGATCTTGGTCTTACACAGAGTCTGGATAATTTCCTGTTTAGAAAAATTCTGTGGTCCTTGCATGATTTGTACTGTCAATGATAAAGAGGGTTTTACAGTCCGAAAGGTAAAGATGTTTCTCTGCTGTGAGCAGAGGTAGAGAAGACTAGAGGGTCACCCATCCACCTCCGTATCCCTCCAGCCACACCTGGAACGAAGGCACTGGACACAGAGGGAGCGGAGAAGGCAGGACCTGGTCTGGGGACGGGGGGAGCAGAGCACAGCCGTGCTGCCAAAACCACTCTGCTGCCCCATGCTTGTTCTGAGATATTTGTCGTGGGTCTTCCACTGTTTCCCCTCTCCACACCTTCCTTTCGATGCAGGTGGAGGAATCTCTGACATTATTGTGATCATCACACGATGTCTCTCTGTGTGCATGGTCAGTGGGGTTTATGTTCATGAATCAGGCTGCTTTATGGATCCTGGAGCTCCCCGCATGGTGTCCTCCAGTCAGAAGGGCGCTCTCTCCCTCCCTTGTCTGGTACAATCTCTTGCCTCTGCAGTCAGGTTTTAACACCGGTGGACAATAGTTTTCTTAACAGGAAAGAATGAATTTAGCATATGCTTGGTCCATGGCAAGACCCCAGTGAATGTTTGCTCCTTTTAGCTAGTCTTAGCCGTGCCGCAGAAACTTCAGGCAATCTGTTCTTTGTCTCTGAGGTTCCAAGACTCTCGATTTTTTTTTTTTAAGATGTTTTTGATGTGGACCATTTTAAAAGTCTTTATTGAATTTGTTACACTATTGCTTCTGTTTTCTGTTTTGGTTTTTTGGCCACGAGGCATGTGGGATCTTAGCTCCCTGACCAGGGGTCGAACCTGCACCCCTTGCATTGGAAGGCGAAGTCAACCACTGTTCCCTCAATATTTTTTTTTTTTTGATAATCCAAAACTGCATTACTTCTAAATTGAGCTGCATGTGGTTTTTGCACATATAACATGAATGTCATTAATGAATGTGCGGTCAGGCTCTGCTCTTCACTAGTTAGAGATGCTACGACAGACAGAACACAACCCATCCCATCTCCTCTTGGTGGGTGTGCTTGGCTAGGAAGGAATGTGCGTTCATGGTGGAATCCAGTACATGGAACCCTGGGCTGGGACTCTGGATTTAAAGGCTGCAGTGGTCACTCATCTTCTGGGAAGCGCTGACCCTGGATATTGAGAAGTACCATGTGACATCACTCCTGGCTTGTCTGGGAGTCAGATGGGCCATTTAGAGAAAGAGCATCTAGCACTTCAGGGAAAACCGTGTGAAGAGGTGCACCTCAGAGCTACAGAAACCGCACCCCGTCGGAGAGGAGGTCGGTTAGGCTGAGCACAAAGGTGCCCTTTCCTTCCCCCACCTTCAGAGAAGCCCAAGTCCCCAGGCACGAAAACCATCTTCCACAAGCTCGGTAAAGGTCAGCTTGTTTTGCAATTGTAGATGTTTGGAAGTGTACCGTTCATGACCACTTAATCATTTTGCTTTTTTGGAGATAATTATCCTTATTAGGGAAAAACAAGTAGGTCTTAAAATAACTCCTGGATCGAGGCTGTTCTTATGGAGAGGAGAAAACAATTTCCAGGATAACACAGCACCGTGGTGGGTAGGCAGACACTTGTTAAGTCACGTGCCAATGAGTTTTCTTCTAAAAAGGGATGGTTTTCATTTTAAGCAGTTTTTCTAAGTTTCGGCCAGTAAGGGTCCTTTATTTTTCAAGCCAGGCTGCTAATATCCTCACACACGATTCACCTTTTAGGGGCTTTGTTGATTGCCAGATGTTTATCTACATGCTGTGTAGGGGAGTGCGCGGATTCCCCGGCTCACACTAACTGAGGGAAAATGAGCATTTAATCTTCGGAGGCATTAAAAAGCATTTAATCTTTTACCCCATGGACAGATCAAGTCCCAGCCTGAGGGGTCGCTTCCTGAGAAATGGGTCATGATTTTGGCTCTCGAAGATTCTTCGTTTCTTCTGTAACTTTCCTCACACGACTCATACCAAGGCATCAGACCACACTTTCTCCCTCTGCAAACCTGCCCTGCCTCATTTTGCGCTGACATCTCTTAATCTCAGCGGCTTTTGAACCAACCTATGTGCCCTGCTCCCAGGCCTGCCCGTCACTTCCTTCATCCCCTTCCGCCTTCTCTTGTCTCAGCTGCAGGGCTCCTCACGGCTACGGGGAGTCTCCGTCGCCAGGACCTTGCCCATCACCCCCTTCTGCACCTTCCCCGGTCCTCTGTGCACCCTGCAGGACCCGGCTTCTTGGGGAGGCTACCCCTGGCTGACGCCAGCCGTGTGTGCTCCCACTGCATCCAGGGTACCTGATGCTGCTTTGCAGGTGTTGAGTTACAACTCCAGCCTGTGTGCCACGTGGTTCTCCTGAGAGATGGGCTGACCCCTGGGACGCCCACCAGCCAGCACAGCAAGGGGCACACAGGAGGCCCTGGACGCCTGGAAAAGAGTTTGCAAATTAAGGGCACTAGGCAGGGTTTCTTTTCCTATTCTGAGCCTTTCTGACTCTTCTGTATTGAGTGATAACTGGTAGACTTAGATTTACCTAGTGGTTTTCCTGACTTAAAGGGCACAGAGCATGAGTCTTCAACGAGTGGGATTTCTGTGTGGGAAGAGGGTGACCTGATAGACAGAGTTCATTGTTCTGATTTGACGTCAGGGTGCTCTCTGACCAGGAGAAGGAGGGAGAGCCCACCCTGTTCTGTCTCCTTGGTGGAGAGCCTTGCACACCCACGTGTGGCAGCTGAAGGCCACGGGAGGCCACACATGTGACCGTTGCAGAGATGAGATGCAGGCAGAGGCCACGGCGGATGGAGATGTGCCTGCACTTGGCGCCCAGAGAGCAGCCCATCCACAGACCTGGGTCCCCCATCCCCGTAGAGGAACTGGTTCTGGAGGGAGCTGGTGGGAAAGATTGATGAGGGAGAGATTGTTACAAGTAAAGTCAAAATAAGTAAGCTTTATGGCTTGGAGTTTATGGCCTCCTCTAACTTGTACCGATCAGATGATTTGTGTCTTTACACTTAAATACAATTTTTTTGTCTGATTGTCGTTCTGAGGTGCGATTTTAGCAGGATCAACAGGCTTTCAGTCTCCTCTGGGCTTTTGCTTCATTTAATCTCTTCTGATGGAGCAGTCACTGGTTTTGTTAGTTATCAGTTACAGTGCAACACAATCAAATATTTGTAGGCATTTGATAAGGAAGAACCCAAAGATAGGAGGGCAGGTAGAAAGAGTTCTGAGAGCATGTGAGTCCACAGGGAGAAACCTCATTCCCTACTCCTAGCCCTTCTTTCCTCCATCAGTTTTGGGGGAAGCTCTGATGTCCTTCTGGGGCTTCAGAGTGTCAGTGGTGTAGCCCCAGGACCAACAAGAGGGTGGTGAAAAGTGTCTGAGGTTTTCTGGTACCAGAAAATGGCCTCCTTACTTTACTGCTTCATCCCCCAAACCAGAGCCATCAACTGTCCCCTGCCCCACAGATCTCCTCCATGCTGGCACCCAGATCTGCCACGTGTATTTATTTTGATTAAACAGCCCCGCCCATAGCATCTCCGGCAGCTCTGTGGACCTCACAGCAATCAACAGCGGTCAAAGCCCCCTCCCTAACCTAAAGGCCCCTCTGAGGGAGAGTTAAGCCACCACACAGAGCCTTTTGAAGTCAACAGCCATGAAAGTCTCTCTTCTCAGGGCCTTAGTGATTGCAGATACAGTAGGGTCTTTGATTCCATTAGAAGCCCTCAAAGCGCCACCCGGATTTTCCAAGCAATATTTTAGCACAACCCTAAATGTTTTCAGAATTAATTATGATTTCCTGAGGCAGCATAAAATGATCCTTACGTTGCCCGAAGATACTTTCCCAGAGGTAATTAGACCCTGAACCTGGCATCTGTGCCGAGGACTGCATGGCACTTAGGGACCGGTGTTTACTCTCCTCCAAAGTGACCTGGGCCTTTGAGGCTCTTTCAAAGATAATAGGAGATGTCAGTATTTCACCCGTTAGAAATGTCAGCGTCTGTGGTTCCGTGTCACATCAGGTACTGACTTCACAGACAGTAATGATTTGAGCTGGGCTGGGAGCACGCTCGCTGGGGACCCTCCATGTGCTCTGCACCCGCAGTGAGCTCCTCACACCCCCAGCTTGGAGAGGCTTCCTGGTACCTGTCTCCCAGCACGAAGCCTCGCGGAGGTGAGGACAGGTGTGCTGTGTGTAGGAGAGGGTTTTAAACAGCGTTTTGCTCTTAAGAGCTGTCTGATGACTTTATAGCTAAACATCATTGCTGGTTCACTCGGTGTCCAAGTGTGGGTTGGATTCCGGCGTGGAAGGGACTGTTCTGCAGTGCTTGGGACAGGGACTGAGCTCCGTTATTTTATTTTTCGACTGGTGAGCTTGGTGATTAAGTATGAAA